CTTTCCCGGGGGTAAAGCCGGCCGGGGCGTGATGCTGACCACTCACCCCCATCTAGTGCCGAGGTCAAGGAAGAGAGGAGCTATAACTCCTCTCACCCCAAACGCCTACATGGCGTATAGTGGGACAAACTTTACTTTACTTCAGCAAAAGATTGTATAGAACTAAGAAACGGATTACCATGTGAATTAACCGATTTAGCTCAGTGTTCTCGTGCTAGATTCTGGACATATATTTCCACTTTTTACACGGGTTCTCGATACAATTCGTGAGGCTAGTCTTGAAGTTGATCGCGTTTAAGCCAACACTTCACAGTAATCCTGTCATCGACTTGTAGTAATTTTAAGCTTTTCACGCGAAGTCGGTAAATAAACCAGTCACGTCATTAACATGTGAGATATTGATGGAAATAACAGTGACCTTCTTCAGTGATATTTTAATTAGGAATGCTAATATATATGGAATTCAGTATCTGTATTGCATACTTTTATATCGATATCGAATTATATTATCGGTATTGTATTTCTGAATCGATAAAGTATCTTATTAGTCCGGTGTTGAAAATTGTATTGCTTCAATTTTCATTTACGCAACTGTCATGGCTGACACGTGAATTGGATCGTGTGGTACATTTCTATCTTCTTAGCATCTAACTGAAATATCTGCAGTGTGTGAAGTTCCGTATAATTTTTTTTATAATTTTCGAATGCTTAAAAGTATTTTATGATGCCAAGAAATAACGAAATATATCGATATCAAATATGTACTTATCTCGTATCATATCGATTTATCGTTGTTAACTGTCATCACTGATTCTTTTGTATCATGGCAAATATCGAGGCCGAGAGGAGACGCGAGTGATAATATGCATTGGCAAAGAAAGGAACAGCCTGAGTTAGTAGAGTGGGGATACATTGTGGCATTATAAAGTTCTGGTAAAGCGTTGTGGACTCGTGTAACAAAATCTGGCAAGGATAACGGCGTCGTGGGATGAACAGGGCCATAAGTATTTCGTAACAGATCTGTATCGATGATGAAATGGAATAGGATGGAAATTCGAAAGTATGCTGAAACAATTATGTACCGGGCTCTGTTTTTCGCAGAGTTCATTTTAGCTGCAGTGGTTGGTGTAACAGCCAAGTATTCACAGGGCTCTTGCCATTAATATTATTATTATTTATTATTATTTAGTGTTCTGTCTGACGACAGGTCCATATGAACAGGATCCTTCCATCCTTTTCTCGGACTGGGACCTGTTCATATACGTTCTTGGCAGATGATCCAGAAGTGGTTTGCCATTGCCTTCTTCTGTGTGTGAATGGAGTAATTGTTGGGATGCCACGGAGGAAAACTCCGTGTTGCCTAGACCACGGCCTTGCCCAACACAAGTTATAAATTCGGGCACCGCCGGGA